TCACAAACACACAAAAAACACAACTTTTAACACAAAAACATTAGGCATTGAAAACATACCTGACTTCTTTTACTGCTTAGAGTCCATCCATTACAGTCAAAACTGACCCCTTTCTTGTCTTGGCTCTCTAGTTTCAGGTATTGCCTGCAAGAAAATGTTGGCCACAGCTGAAAGCAAAGGACTAAGCTACTTGAGAATGGTGAAGCTGACCAGACGAAACAGGTCAAACCCAAATTTACCAGGGTAGCTCACTAAGAGGAAGCGAAATGCTAGCAGTTATTTGACAATATTGCTTGTGTTGCATTTTTTTAAAAGTTTAGTATTTTTTAGTAAAATAGCTAAATGGAGACAAGTCACTAAAGGGAACACAAAAAGACAATTATAACATCACCCTTCAGGTGTAAAAGCAAAAATGTATTAGCTTCAGTAAAGTAGGTAATTAAGAAAATTTAAATTAATCACAAATCTCAGAAAAGATTTGACAGGTTACATTTCACGTATCATGGCAAAGGGTTAAAACAAGCTTGTATTAAAAATGTTCAGCTGGTTCTGTACTGTAGCACAATCAGAGTGCAAAGTGCACTTTCCTATCCCCCAAATTACTGAGAACTTCTGGGTTCATAGCCATCAGATCCCAGCTGGTTGTTAAGAGCAAATCAGGGACTTTCTATTCCTAATATTTACCTCAACCGGACAGCTGGAGATAGCCATTAATACAGCTCACAAACACAATAAATGGGGCTTCAGCATGCACGCACTGTCAGAAGGTAACCAAGTGGAGATGTTTTAAATAGGGAGATTGCTGGAATGGAGAGGGAAATTATTTTACCAGGCAGGCCTGGTAACCTGGGGGCGTTGGGTACTACAAGGTACAAATGTCCTTTAACAATAAGCCCAATGTTACTTGTACATGCTTGAGGTACTTACAGTAATAACTTGCATGCTTCATTGTTCTGGCCTCCCATGGAGTCATAGTAAGTTATTGTTTTTTTCCTGAAATCGATCACCTGTCAAAACATACAGAATTACGTATGAACTGAAGATCAGAAAAATTAAAATTAAAAAAGGAGAACTATGAGGTGAGTGCTTTTCACTCACCTCATAGTTCTAGCCGACCTGTGACAATGAGACTGTCACAGGTCGGCTCAGTAGATCGGGAGGTGAGCGAACACATAACGGCGCTCGCTCACCTTTCGATCCTGTCACGGCTCTCTGCAGTGACAGGGGAGGGGCTGGATTCCCCCCTCCGCCAGCGCTGACTGGCGGAACGGACGGGGGAGGGGACGGGTACAGCTGGCTCTGCCTCTAGATAGGCAGTGCCAGCTGTCAGTCATGCAGCTGGGCGGATCCCGGCACAATTGTTGGGATCCGTTTCAGCGTCTGAGTATACCGTAAGCTACTGCGGCGTCTCAGTATACCGCGAGCTACAGCTCGCGGTATACTGAGCCTAGGGTGATGGGAGGACACTAGTTTGTGTCCTCCCGTTACCCTAAGGAGAACTATGGGGAAAAGTCTTAACCCCATAGTTCTTCTTTAAGATATTTATCATCTAACTGAAATGTGTATTCACACTTTGTAGTGTTAGACATATCTTCCAGGTTGAGAACTAGGTTTTAGTCACATAGAAATAGGAAAAAATACTAGCAATAAAATGCATTCTCCAGTGACTTTTGCAAATTTTGCATTATTCACTAAGACTCAGGAATGGTCAAGTTCAAAGTTTACATTTAAAAGCAAACTAAGAATTTTTGCTTCTTTCAACATTACATGGCAATGTACACAGGGAAGAAAAAAAAATATATGTCTGAAAAATATATATTTTCAAGTATTTTACATTCATACAGTGATACTATATATTGGCACCCATGCAGTTCTGTCAGATATCACACCACTTCGTGAAGTACATTTGTTACAATTACAAATGTTTAGGCATTCTCATGTTTAATTCTTTTATTTGTATTGGTATCACACAAAAAAAAAGTGGAGAAAAAAGTCAAATCTGACACATTCCATGCAAAACTCCAAAAATGAACTGGACAAAATGATTGGCACATAGTTGCATAGTATTTGAGGTTGAATAAAGACACAGGTCCAACAAGTTCAACCTTTGTGCATCTGTGTGCGATTGTGTATGCGAGTCCATGTGGCACCTTGTCCAAATTGCAAGAATTGAATTGCATTCCACATTTTGTGGAAAAGCATGGACAATCTCAAGGTTCCAAGTCCATCTCCAGAGATCTTAAATGTTCCTGTGTCCACTGTACACAACATTGTCAAGAAGTTTACAGCCCATGGCACTGTAGCTAATCTCCCTGGACTTGGACGAAAGAGAACAAATTGATCAAAGATTGCAATGAAGGATTGTTCGAAAAGGTGGATAAAGACCCTCCATCAACTTCCAGACAGATTCAAGCTGACCTTCAGGCACAGGGTACAACTGTATCAGCTCGCACTATACGTTGCCATCTGAATGAATAGGGATGCTATGGTGGGAAACCCAGGAGGACCCCACTGCTGACAAAAGAAACAAAAAAGCAAGATTGGAGTTTGCCAAAACTCACCCGAGGAAGCCAAAATCCTTTTGGGAGAATGTGCTGTGGACAGACAAAACAAAAATGACAGCTTTGTGGTAAAGCCCATCATTCTGATTTCAGAAAAAGAAAAAAAAAAATTCAGTCCCTACAGTCAAACATGGTGGAGGTTCACTGATGTTTTGGGGTTGCTTTGCTGCTTCAGGCACTGGATGTCTTGACTGTGTGCATGGCATTATGAAATCTGAAGACTACCAAATAATTCTGACCCAAAGCACATATCAAAAAGGACCCAATAATGGTTTCAGACAAAGCACTGGAGGGTATTGGACTGGCCAGCAATGAGTCCAGATCTAAATCCCATAGAGCACCTGTGGCGAGATCTCATAACAACAGTTGGGAAAAGGAACCCTTCCAATCCGAGAGACCTGGAGCAGTTGACAAAAGGAGAAGAGTGGTCCAAAATTCCTGTAGAGAGGTGCAAGAAACTCATTGATGGTTACAGGAAGCCATTGATTTCAGCTATTTTTTTTTACAAGGGCTGTGCTACCAAATCATTTTGTCAAGTCCATTTTTTTGAGTTTTGCGTGGAATGTGTCAGATTTGGCTTTTTTTCCCTCCACTTTTATATACCAATATAAACAAGAAATAAAACAATGGTGCACTGACAGAAATGCAAGGGGTGCCATGACTAATTTTTTTAT